AGCAACCACCCGGCCCATCCAAGTACAGCTCGCACCGCTCCTGCACTGCATGTGCGCTGCAGACGCCATGGCCCAGGGGGACACCGTGGGCATCGGAGGCTGGCTTAGCACCTCCTCAGCTTTCCTCTGGTTCGCCTGCACCTGGTCCATGGACGAGGTCCGCCAGACCTGGCCGTGGCTGCTCAAAGACGCACAGAAATACATTGCCTGCTTTGAGGTGCTCGCACAGCTCGCCCTGCTGCAATGCACCTTTGCACGCCTGCGCCACAGGCACCAACGATTCTGCCTGCCCTCCGCCACAGACAACAGCCCGAGCGAAGCCGGCCTGAACAAACTTTTCAGCACAGCCGAGCCCATCGCTCACTTCTTGAAACTTGCAGCGCAATGGGCGCACGCCCGCGGCATACACCTGCTTCTCACGCACCTGCCTGGGGAGAAAAACACCTGGGCCGATGAGCTCAGCCGCGACAACCTGGCCCGCTTTCAGCACAGAGCAGGCGAGCGCATGCATGTTTCGCTCGCACAGTTAGCTCTCCCTGCTACAGGCGTCCGCCTGCACCCCGCGGACCACTCGTGGCCGCCAGCCCTGCAAAACGCAGTGGCTTCAGACAACCTGCAGCCCCCGCCCGCAGCTAGCAAAAGAGAGCCTCTGACAGCTAGCCTACACGCACGCACTGCCTTCACTCCTCAGCCAGCCTTCTGTTGCTCTCGCGCACAGCACTCGACTGCCTGCTTGCCTCACGCGCCTCGCGCCGCGCGCGACCGCCACTAAGGTCTTCACGAGCCGCCAGCCTCAGCCCCAGCCTCAGCTGCAAGCCCGCCTTCTCGGCGCCGCAGCCTCAGCCTCTGCCGCCTGCCTGCCGCCTGCCTGGGCCGCCTGCCCCTTTCTTGCCGCCACGCCAGGCGAACCCACTCATACTGCGCGCACCTGCCTCAGCTTGCTGCCCGCAGTGCCCGCGACGGTGGGGGTTTCTCTAGCTTTGCAGCCTACGGGCACTGCTCAGGCCTGAAGTGGGGGTCTCAGTCGCCAGCCCGCGGCTGAACTCCTCCAACCTGAGCAGCACCCGTGATAAAAATAGTGCGCTTGCTGTTTGTGCATGCTGGGATCGTAAGTTGATTAGAGTACATGAACTGTCTGGAGAACGCTCCACGCAACTCTTTTCTTTTCATGTTGTCGTGGTGTTTTCTAGCATGTTGCATGCACGCATTGTCAACTTTGTTCATGTAGCTCTTTTCGGCTGCAGATCCGCATGCGCAGTTTTTCACACACCGCTCCCACCCGCCCGTGTGGTACAAACTTGCTGTTCCGCCTGAACACTAGCCAGCATTATGCACGCCTTGCTGCCTAGCGCCTCCTACTACGTCTCACTATACGCATCCTAGTCTCACAAAAGACGGGGGTCTCAGTCGCCAGCCCGCGGCTGAACTCCTCCAACCTGAGCAGCACCCGTGATAAAAATAGTGCGCTTGCTGTTTGTGCATGCTGGGATCGTAAGTTGATTAGAGTACATGAACTGTCTAGAGAACTCTTGGCAATCTTTCTTCATTGGGGTCTTGAGAAATATCACTCACGGCACGTGCAGGGCAGCACGAGCCACAATGGTCTGACGGCTTTCGCACCTCAGCAAAGCCAAGGCCCGCATCCACCAAGAATCGAATCAGGGGGTAGCCGACAAGGATACGATTAATGTAAACTCCTTCATGTTGGCCTTTTCGCTTCGGGCTTCGGCCTTTTATTAAGACACTTGTTAATACCAAGTGAATCCGATTGTTGTGTCCAGAGTTTTGAACCCCCGAACCTGTATACTACCGTAAAGCCTATACCCTTAAACCCAAAACCCTAAGCCCCCAAACCCTATAAGCCCGAAACCTAAGTTGTAAGGCGGAGCCACAACAGAGCGACGTTCTGGCAAGGGTAGCCATCTCAACCCAGACAGGCAGATCGAGGTATTTTCTTCAACCTCTCTCCGAATCAAAGTTGTGGCTGGATATCACTGGCCTCTCGAACTTCTGAAAGCCCATCAAGTACCTCACAGCAAAAATTCCGTCAACACTATCGCTGGCAGAGCTGTGAAGAATCTCACCCAAAAGACATGTGCGTTGGTTGCCATCGAAGCTGCAACGAGTAAGCTGGGCTCAGGGGGAACAGAGACCCAGGCCCACCGAAAGGGAGACAGAAAGGGAGAGAGCTCATATTATGCTCCATTATCGTGCTTGCACATGGGGAGGTTAAAGAATGTCAAAGAGTACACAGGGCTTGAGATGAAATTTGCGTCCACTCGAAGGCCGTCGAGATGGTCGACTAACCCGTCACACTTGGCAGTGAGGTCTGAGTTATGTGGCTACTAAGGCTTGCTTGAACCTTCGCAGGAAGACAAACATACACATCGCAAGCCTTATTCTCCACATTCTGCACGCTGGCTGTTGCTATCTGTCGTCATCCACATGCTCCCGCCAATGTCCCTTGATGCGGGACGAGTGGAGCCGCTGACCCGTGCTGGCAAGCAGAAAGTGACCCATGCACCTTCAGACAAGGGCCACGGTCCTAAGATATCTGGGTTACTCTTGCAAGACTCCAGAGAGCTCGCATGTATCATCAAAACCTATTGAGAATATGGATGCGGCTCAGATGTCTGGTGACGGCATGTGGTAGTTTGTTAGTAGCTGATGCCGAACGAGAACATCCATGCGCCATCGGATATGTGGGCACTTCGCATGAGTGACGGTGATGAGATCAGGGTGGGAGCCTTGGGGACTTCAACATTTGTGCGAAGCCGATGCGACGAGAGTTTCGATCGTCTGGATGTCGAGGAAGGTTATGTCACGTTTGATGTTATTTATAAACTAACTATACTATCCTATCCCATACCATACCATACTATACTATACCATATTATACGATACGAGACTATGCTATACTGTACCATACTATATATACTATACTGTTGTTGCAGCCCTTGTGTGATGGTGCGACGTTCTTTATTTGATTCACAAGCATCTTAACTTCAATTTGTGTCACTATTCAGGCGCTGTTGTATGATTGAGTTTGTCAGTTTTCATGAACCGCAGCTTGCTTCGGCTCGATCACCCGTAAAGGCCTTGCGTTTCACGCTGCGACCCGTCCAGCAACTTGCACCTTTATGCTGTCTTCCAACTTTCAAAGCTGCCACTGAGTTGCAACGCACTGCAGAATGCTGCCCATGGTACTATCGGGCTAGAAGTGAGACGGTACAGCATCTCTCAAGTGCTGCATGAGCAAGTGAATGGCTTCTTCCGATGATGATGCTGACCTCGATGACGACCTTGATGCGGATGAGTCGTACCAGGCCGAATGGACATGTGGATGACAAGTTCCCAGCTGAATCAGTCGCGATGCAGTCTGGGGTTTTCGTGAGGCCATCCGAATTCCCTTGGGGCATCCGCCAGTGGTAAGCTGCCTTACTTGCACACGGAAGCTTCCCGTATGCACCGGGGAAGTGTTGTTCTTGACAGGTGTTCGGGTTGCCCGGCAGCGACCAGCTTCTGCAGGAGGTGCACGCTTGCTGCAGTCAGTGTTGTGTCCGTTGTCGCATTGGAGAGCGTGCTCAGGTTATTTCTCATTTACAGTGGCGATCAGGGTGCCCCGGGAGTCAGCGTTAGCTTCGGTGTTGGCAGTCGGCCGTGCATTGATTGTGTCAGGGAGTGCCACTTCGCCATGTTCGACAACGGCGAGATTGGGCCGAAAGTCTTGCAGACGGAGCACGGCTCGGCGATCTGTTGTCGCGAGAGCTTTTCTCAGGGTCCGGCCCAACCTAGGTGACCAATCACGATGTCTTCGTGATCATCGTGCGTAACGATGCTGCATCCGAGGTCGCATCCCCACAAGTGGGCATTGACTGAAGGCAGCTCTGGGATCGACAAAGGTGAACTTTTCACTGGTGAGATTACTGCTGCTGGTGGACGCTCTCAGGGGTGAGGTGACTTTCTCAACAGTCGGCAAACTTGTTGAAGCTTATCCGTTGCGGTTTGGTGCCCTGAGTCCCCACACCGACTAACGGTCGTGATGCCCTGTTTGGAGTACGCTCGGCAGGCGCCGGGCCTCTTTCCCGCGCATACTCTTGTGAAGCTTTGCCCGATTGCAGGATCGGAAACTGATGGCCGGCGAGGCGCGGTTCTTCCGGGTTGCCTCGCCGTTCTTGGGTCAACTTCCCAGAGATTCGCGGCAAAAGGCCATTGCTCCCAAGCTCATGTTCCGGTGCATCAAGGCTCCTCCCTTCGAAAGAGTGTCGCGATTTCGTTCAAAGCTGTCCAAAGCATCTTTGTTTCGAGACTGCGGGAGCAGAGCGGTTCCTGACAGTGGACTTGCACAACCAGGTCGGTTCTCGAGTCTTGGGCCTTCGTCGAATGGACGCAGCACGACCCTGCAGGCGGAAGCCGCATTTAGCCCACCTGGCATGGTGCTCGACGAGCTGAGCTCCGACAGGCGGCGCGATCTCTGCAAGATCAGGAACTCTAAAAAAGGAGGGTGTCTGCGTGCCGTCTCAGCATGCAGCCACAGCTGCCTCAGGTATCTTGCAGACTTCATTCGAAAGAACGTGCCTGGTTTCGATGAGGTGGTGCTGGGTTGCAAGAAGCTGTGTGGCTTGCATGTCCTAGTTTTGCTCGATGTGCACAGGAGCACTCTCTCGTGTGCGCCACCAACGGTGGAGGCATGAAGGCTCGGGGCAAGGGAGGGAAGAGCCCAACATTACTTGACAGTTTCGTGGTGTGTCAATTGTCGCTTCGACTGGATCCTAGCGGACTGCCATTGCAGTTCACGCGGCGGATGGCAGACATACTGCGCGTGGGCTTCATCATGGCGGATCGCTTCAGACAGAAGGCTGCCTGTTGCCGGGTATCGGAATGACTCGTCATGCCTCGCTCGAAGCCCGTGCAGTAGGTCCTAAGGACAGTCGATTCTCAGGGGGGCGCCTGCTCGGACCTGCATGCCATCTCCGCCTAATCTTCCGGGCACCTGTCGGCTCAAGAACTCGCACTCGTCCCGTTGTATGCAAACGCAAGCCTGATCAGGGTTTGGTACTCGAATCGCATGGAATCCTCAAATGCTGAGCTAGATTGCACGCCGACTCCAGTTTGCAAGCGAGGATCTTGTAAGCCCACATGAACGATGCTGCTTCGTGGGAAGTACGTGCATGCCTTTCTGCACCGGGCAGCTGCTGCTCATTCTCCTAGCACGCTCAAGCTTGGTGCGAGCCGATCTTGACTACGCAGCTAGCCTTGACTTGGGATATTCTGCTTAGTTGGGATGTCCTGCTTAGTTGAAAAATTAGAGGAGGAGCATGGGTATCTCAATTCGATTACGTGCGAGATCTGGTCATGTGTGAGGTGAGCTACAACTACGAGTTTGCCTCGGGTGATCAGACATTCCCGACACTTATTCAAAGTGTTCCTGGCAACCTTGCGGAAGGAGTGGATCCGAACCTGGGCTTGCAGTTCGTGTTCTCAGAAGTCATCGTGGCGGGAGCAGGTCTTGTGGAGCTCCTGGCTCTGGGAGATGTGCGCGTGCTCAGCTTTGCGGACGGGCAGGTGACGATGATCACGTCAGGTGCATATGGCAATCGATCCATTGCTGTATCTCCGGCGCTTGCCTTGCGGCCAGATCTAGAGTACAACATACGACTGCGCGCTGACGTTGTTCGAGATCTCGCAGGGAACCCACTTCAGTACTGCAACATTCTGTTTCGGACAGGCGGATCGCCGGAGAACTTTGTTGTCTTCGCCCCGTACATACAAGAACCAATAGCACCACTTGTTGTTTCTTTCCGCACGAGTCAGCACGGACTGTATGGGTCTACAGACGACTTGTACCGGTTGGAGCTGTCGGTCGAAAACAGCACGCTTCTGGATCCACCTTCGCGTGCACTGGAGGGTTGCAGTAGTGTTTTGGAGATTTCCGAGACCTTTCCAGCACTGCAAGAGTGCCGATTTGATGGAGGTCGCTTTATCCTTACGCTTCAGTCGCCGTTACAGTCAAGCACGGAATACACTTTCGTGTTGCAGTGGCCAATCTCATCTGGCGGATCGGATGAGCGGCTGGTGACTTGGAACATGGTAACGGCTCGTACATATGCAGGGGATTGGATTGAAGTACAGCAGCTGATACCATGGCGGCATCGACTTGTCGATCATCTCCAACTTGTTTTGCCGGGCTCCGACGTTTCCGTGCTTTCTCTTGAAGTTGCACCGGCTGCTGAGGCCTTTGCCAACTCCTCCGACGGTCAGGTCTCAGGCCCTGAGACCCTTCGGGAGTACGACTTCAGCATTCAATTCGGTGGGCAGGGCATGTTGGCAGGTTCCCGCCTGCGGATCATTGGCTCTCCGCTCATCGGATGGAGCACCGAGGCCTCCCGACCCGTGAACACGAGCATGCTGACCTCCTTGCTGCAGATGCCATGGAACACGCGCTCCGGCCCATGGAGACAGACCCGAGGCTGTGGCCACTTCTTCCCCGGCGATTTCCCTGCCCAGACAGCTTGTGAACTCCTGGAATACAACGTGGGGGGACCTACATATGGTATGGAATTGAGGCTTCCTAGCTCGGCGGCGACGCTTCTGCCGCAGAGGCCGTACACATTCTCGCTGTCAGTACCTGGCATCAAGCAGCCGCTGGCAGCGGCTGTGCGCTGGGAAACGATTCTGTCACAGAGCGTGGGTGGGATCTTTCAGCACAGCCCGGTGACAGCCAGTGGCTCCGTCATGCTATCCAACACTACACAGGGCATGTCGCTGGAGGTCCTTTCTAGCACATACAAGTATCCGGCACCGATGGGCAGCATCCTGAGCCGTGTGGAAATGGAGCTGAAGCTGGGTGTCTTTGCACCGCCAGGTCCAGGCTCTGTGATCGTGGAGCTGCTCGAACCCGCAGAGGCTCGAATGGAGACCTGTGAGCCAATTGCCGGCATTGCAAGTCTTGGGGAGAAGCCACCAGCCATGTCACTCGACGGTACAACCAGTCGCGCAAGCTGGCAAATGGAATCCGATGCCAGCCAGCGCAATTTTGTTGTTTACCCGCGAGTCGCATACCGGACTGCTTGCTTGGTTTACAACGGCCCAAGCCCGTTGATGTACAGCACGTGGAGACTTGCAGTGGAGGTTCTGGTCGGAAGTTCTGCCTTGACCTTTGACACACTCACCTCTTCTTCCAAGTATTTTGTGGTTCCTGCCTTTGCATCTGCACAGGTCCTTCCAACCCACCCTGTTCTGGGAAGGTTTCAGATCCTCCTCATCCGAGCTGCTATGCCCGAGAGAGACGGCTTCTCCTTGACGCATTGGACAAGCTCTGCCCATCGACTGCAGCTCCTTGCGCCGAGTGGCTTTGCATTTCCAGATGGGCCTTGTCCAGGTTTCTGGCCACTGAGCTCTTTGCCACCTGTGCCTCGAACCTCTTGTGTTGCAGCTGCGCCAAAACCTCTTGCAGTAGATGTTCAGATGGACTCTAGGGATGTGGGCTTTCAGCCGGGTGAAAGCTATGCCTTCCAGGTTTCGGTTGAGAACCCTCCGGAGAGCTTTTGGTCCACCGCATCCGCAGAGGAGCTCCGTTTGCACGCGTACGGCTGGTCATTGACGCTGATCGAGGATCATGGCATGCCGGTTGCGTTGATGGAGAATATACCTTTGGTGCAAAGCTCTGTGACAGCCGCGCTGAGACCAGGTGTTCCTGCTTCCATCTATGACAGCTCCTTCCGGCTCTACAAGACGCAGATTTCGATTTTGGCCATCTTCGCCGAGGACCAGCGAGCCGGCCAAGTAAGTAGGGTGCAGGTGGATTTCATGCTGCAGACCCCTCTTCGCACGGGCGACTCGCTTGTGGTGACAGCGCCCTCTCTTTTCAGCTGGGTCATGCCTGCTCAGCTATATGAGCCCCTGACGACCAGCATCTTGCAGAGGTTCCCGACCATCGAGCCAGAGATCGACGGGGCTTCGCCGTGGATCTTACGGGTGGACATTCAAGGCACCGCGCGATCCGAATTAAGCTACGCCATTGCAGCGGATGTGATGAATCCTACTTCGATTGTTTGGAAGAAGGTCGATGCCACCTTCAACTATTGGCAACTCGAAAGTCTCTACAGATATCTGCCGTTCACATCTTTCGAGAGCCGCCGGGACGTGGGCGTACGGCGCGGGTATGATGTGATTGGAGCTTTGCAGTACTGCGCGGCAGTGCCGACGAGCAGGTTGCGTGGCCACGAGAGCTGGGTGTCCCTGAGCTTGCAACTTGCTGAGCCACTCGGTGTTCAATCATGGCGGGAGCCGGAATTGCCTTCGATTGTGCGAGTCTTGCTCCCACAGGGCTTTTCCGTTGCTGCTTCCTCTGGACATGAGAACAACTGCTCCAGCATCCTTGAGACAAGTGCAGATCCAGGGAACCCGAGGCTTCCAGCCCTGCAGTTCCCTCGCGAGTACTCCTCCCTGCCCGATGTGGACAGCCTCCAGTGCGGCACCAACGTACAGAGAAGCGAACTGACACTGTCGTTTCCCGACGTCTCGGACGTTGCCGGGCTGCGTTTGCTGCCTCACGTGGTTTATGCATTCCGGCTGCGAGTGCAATCGCCCAGATTTGATCAGATACGTGGTCAGTTCTGGTCCGTGGAGACTGTGACAGCCCAGGGAGAGGTTCGACAGCGATGCTCCGTCAGTGCTTGGGAGTTCTCCGACCCTCTACAGGGTGTGTCGACTGTGACAGGTCTGCCGATGGCGCCGACATTGGTAGCGACTTTCAAATTGCAGCTGCAGGGATCCGCTCTGTTGCAGTTCTCCACAGGCATCTCCGACATCTCCCTGGAGCTGCAGGCGCCGAGTGGCTTCGTCTTCTTCCCCGACTGCGCTGCAAAATGGCCTCCGATACAGCCAGAAACAGCTTGGCAACTGACGGGCTGCACAGGCAGTGGAGCTGTCGCAAGAGTGGATGCGCTGCAACTTGCGTTGAGTGAGGCCCTTGAGATTGGCGTGACAGTACGGATGCCAGCTTGGAAGGATCATGGGCAGACCCAAGTCTGGTCGATACGGAGTATGGTGCAGGGTGTTCTCTTTGAAGCCACCGCATTGATGGGACCATCTCTAACCGAGATTGGAGACGTTCGGCTTCAGCCATTGTCCAGCATTTTATTCCGTGCAGAAGCAGTCATCCAGTCTGCAGTCCTGAGTTTCGTGCCTGCCACAGAGCTACTTGCAGGCGCTTTTCTGGAAGTTGCTCTCCCGGGCCAGCATGAGTTCGTCTTCGTGCCCGAGGCACCTTGCCTTTCTCTCATCGAGGATCCGCAATCCTTACTTCCGCAAGTCTCCGAAGTTCAAACTAGCCAGTTCGCTCAAAGCTGTGATCTGGCTGCGACCTGCACTTGGCCCCAGCTTTTCGATTGCTGGCAGCAAACTTCTTCGTCCTCACTTCGAGTCCAAATCGCAGCGGGTTTGGTCCCAGGTGAGCGCTACTGCATTGGTATCCATGCAAGTGTGCCTGAAGGCAGATCCGTCCCAGCATTCCCCCTGCGCCTTCAGTTGCTTGACGAGTCTGGAGTGGTCCTCGAGGTTGCCCCTCTCGTGGGGCAAAGCCGTCGAGGTCTTGGTGTGGCCCCGGTTGTGCAGACATTGGCACATCTCTCCCTCTGCTACCCTGGCCGTCTCCCGAGCACAGAGCCCGTGGACGTTGCGCTGAGCTTCGCTCTGAGTTCCTTAATTTTAGCTTCCACTGATCAGAGGCTGAGTGCACGTTTCTGTCTGTTGGGCCTCGACCTTCCTTCCAATGTGCCGCTCACCTGCACAGTACTGGAACCGTCGACCGCAAGGGTGACGTGCAGACTGCTGAGCGGATGTGGCACTTGTGTCTCGCTGGAAAGCAACGACTTGTGGATGCCTTTTGAGCGGGTCATCATGTCATTTCCAGCTGTGTTGTCTGCCGGCGCTTTCCCGAGTGTGGATATGGAGTTGTTGACTTCCTCAACGGGTGCGTCAAGCGTGCTGCAAGGAAAGAGCTATATGACCGCATTGCCCATCTTGCCAATTTTGCCCCTAACGATTGTTGCACCGGTAGCACCGACACTGGATACCGTTATTTCGGTGTACTTGGAGATGGATTGGCAAGAGATTGCCACCGGTCCTGTGAGTTTGCTTCTGAGCCCCACAGGTGGAGAGAGTCCTGCCCTGTTGGACGTCTCCCTGCCCTTCGGTCTGACGGCATTTGCTGGGACTGCGTGCAGCCCCGTCCAGTGTCAGCAAGCCCCACCTGATGAGGCTGCGCCAGAGCCTGTCCTGCGCTTCTTGCTCCAGAGACCTATTGGCTCGGCCCGCCGGCTCCGCCGATTGCAGTCGGTCGCTGTGTCCATTCAAGACTTGCCTGGCCAGCTACAGGTTCATCTTTTCGCGACGGCACCTGTGTCAGCGCAGAATGACTGGCGCTTCGTACTGAGAACGGAGACTCTCAAAGCTCTCGGAGCCATTGCATTGCCTGGCTTTGCGGTCGTTTATCCGGTGTCCTTGGGGGTTCAGACTTCTTCCCAACGTGCTGGGAGCCTGTTTTCCAGATTTGTCCTTGAATTCAAGCTGTCATCTTCACTACCAGCTGGCTCTTTCCTACACATCCGTACTCCTAGCGGTATTGTATCAGAGCCGGACAAGGTGGAGCCCGAGTACTTGTTTGAAGTCGCATCGCTACCGCCGAGCTGGCTTGACATGACAAGTGCACTTGTTTTCAGAGCATTGCAGACATTGGCAGCCAACGTGGCATACACTGTAAATGTGCCTATGATCAACCCTATATTGATGCCAGCTTCGAACGAGTGGCTGGTCCAAGTTCTTGAGTCCGATTTCGCTGAAACCGGACTCCCAAACTCAATCGGCAGGAACGAAGGGTTTGAAGTGTTTGGGGAGTTCGAGCATTTTGGCATTAGCGTGCAATCTGCAGTTCCTCTGGTGTCTGCACCAGCTCTCGTCCAGTTCAAGTTGAGAACGCCGCTTCCTCCGACGGAGGAGTTGTCAAAATCTTTTCAACTGCGTATCACCAACATTGGTGCAACTGGGAATGCAAAGGTATTTGATCCTGCAAACTGTGTTCTGGATACGATACGGACGTCCCGGAGCTTGCCTGCACAGCCAGCTGAGAAACTGCTGCTGACCCCTTACGATTGTTTGGTGTCCTCCAGCGGTTTGGTTGCTGATTTGATGTTCGACCAGCAAATTCTCGCCAAGCAGGACTACTACTTTTGGATCTGGATGCAAAACCCAGATCAGATCAGCTGGTTGCAGACATTCGCTGCAAGCACCATTGCTGGAGATCAGGTTGTGCATCAGACCTCCTTCTTTTCCTCGGCCCTCCTGACGCTTCGCGGGTGGATCACACCAGGATCACATGCTGCAGGGGCCTCGCACCGTTCTGTCGTTAGCATCTATGCTGGTCGCAGCCTTCGGGGCCAACGTGGCAGCATCGAACTGCAGCTCCCGCCAGGGTTTCTCGCCTCTTGCCATGACTTCAGGCCCCGTGGCGCCCTGCCCGCCACGGCCAGGTGCCGAAGCCTTGAGTCAAGAGTGCAGGTCTACTGGAGATCTTTGTTTGGCCGCTCAGAACTGAGTCCGCCTTATGAGTTCGCATTTGGGCTCACGAACCCAGCTGTTGGACTACCAGGAGTCTGGACAGCCACTATCTTCCAGGGCGAGAACCAAGATTTCGCTGTAGACGCTTCTGGAAGCGAAGGCATGGGTGGCTTTGACGTCTGCGAGCCCATGGCGAATATCAGCCTACGCAGGGAGGACGCCTCCGTCATATCCTTGGTGCTGTCGGTGGGAGCGGATGTGCCTGCATCCTTTGATCTGCTACTCAGAGTCGAGCTGCGTTCGTCGCTGACCGCTCAAGCTTACCTGCAGTGCCCAGAGACGTCACTGTGGCAACCACGCGAGAATCTGCAGAACCACATCAGCGCTACCGCACAGGGTTTGCCACGCTTCACGACATGTGTTGAGGAGCCTGGCAGCGATTTGGAGGAGTCGGAGTACACGAGAAGTGCACGGCAGCACAGCTCCGCCGTCCTCTTTCTCTTGCCCTATGCCCGGTTCTACGGAGGAGGTGAAGCCTTGGCCCTGGAAGTTCGGATGCGCCGCGAGGCCGAAGGCCGCAGGGCCGCCTCCGCCCCCCTCCCAAAAGTCTCGAAGCCTATAAGCCACTTCACGAAGCTCCTTTTTTGAAGCTCTATATGTAGACTCTGGAGTCTGTGTGCACCGCTGCTTTCTTGGGAGGATTTTCGGTGCTGGAGCCTTCCATGGTGGAAGCAGCCTCGGAGATGGTGAACGTGAACTTGGAGGCTGGCGGACGCAGAGTTCGCTGCGGATCGCTACCCCTAGGCGGGCCCATACGAACCAGAGCAAGCGGCAAGCGACTGTAAAGCGGCGAAAAAACGCATGACCACAGGCTCGATCCCCAGCATGGAAACTGCAGGCTCGGATCTCAGTTGAAGGAGGAGTGAAAATTGCATGATCTTGTTTGTGTGTGTGTGGACCCAGGAAACTTGAGTGACAGTGGTCCGAGTCTCAGTCATCGCGGCACAGAGAATTCGGAGCTATTGCCCCTGACTCTTTTGGAAGTTTCAAGAACCCACGGCCAGGTGATCCAGTCCCAGCTCAAGGTATTGAGCCTCCTGAAGCCGACATTGCAGGGGGTGCATCGACAGGCTGAAGGTCACAGACTACTTCACGCTGCTGAAATGGGCTGATGGTCGAAGCCACGACGGACAACTCCGTTTTCCGAGAGAAGTATTCCACCACCATCGTTTCGGCTTGGACGTCCCGTGCATGGACGTGCGCGCACGCGCGACTGGCAAGCGCTCTGGAAGCGAGGTGTGGCAACGGACGCAAGTGGCTGCGCGTACTCGCTTTGGCCAAGCTTCGCGATCTTGCTGCATGCAATTACAAGACCATCCTGCAATGGTCTGTTGGCGCTCGATGCTCCCTGGTGAAATTGAGCCTGTGTGGCTGAAGATGTTGGTGAGGAAGTCTGCAAGGGCGAAACTTCGAGCGAGTGTCACCCGCAACCAAAGCTCAAAGGGTCCAGATTCAGACAAGTCGGAGTTTCTGTGAAAGTTGGGCGAGTTCGAGTGATTTCCCAGATTGCGATGATCCTGACTCTGCTAGGCCGGTGGACGTGGCGAGGTCAAAATCATGTTCGACGCGGAGGCCTGGACCGATGATCATTGCCAGGGCATCGGCGTACCTTATTAACGGAGGAGGGCAGCCAATCTAAGATTCAGGGTGTCATCTCGCGCTGTTTCAAGTGAAAATGTAAGCAAGAGACATCACATCGGTTCTAATCGAGGTTGACAAAGCTAGCCGAGACCCCTAGTTGACAAGTGGGAGGAAACCTGTGCGGGCCGTGTGGGATGGGCTGGAACGGGTCTCCACTCCTTATGTCGGCAGTACCTGACCCTGGCGTGGTAAGTAGACTTTAGCTACCGTCTTCCAAGCTGCACAGATGCAAAGCATCAACGATGTCATCATCATCGATGACATGTTTTGCCCTGAGAAGTCTGGGCAGATGTCGCGCTTCGCAGCGATCGGGGTGGGCCGCGGGACAGGTTCGACACGTGTGGTAACCTCGTGGAGGCAAGTGTCGATGTGCGCCTCCTCCTTGGAGTTGTGTCTGCGAATAGCTGCAAGGTCGGCCGAGCTCTTCACACACTGCTTCCGTCGGCTCGACTCTATGGCGTCGCTCCACACGGCCTGGCATGTCAATATGAGAGAGGGCAACGACGGGTGATGGTGGCTTGTCAGACGCTCATTGAAGGCTACTTCTCCGGAGACACCGCTGACAAGGTTTGTTCTCTTGCGAGAGTCGTTCGTCATCGGTCACATGTCTGCGTTTCCATGGTCTCAGGTGAAACAGCTCGTGGAGGAGTGTAACTTGCAGTGGGTTGCCGTTCGGACCTTAGTACCGGATCTGCTTGCCTTTCGTCTACTCGCGAGAGCCATGCTGTGTTAAGGTCACCAACAGCGTAGATCAAACGGCAGCTCTTCAGAGGTTTGCAGCCGCAGGCAGGGAAAGTCACGATGTTTGCCAAACCTGGACTTCAATCTTTGCTGTGGTTCCAGGCTTGGAAGAGAGGATCAAAGTAATCGAGATCTCCAAGTTATTGGCAGGCCGGTCAATGTGCACAGTGTCTTCATGCTGTGCAAGTTCTTACGCTTAGTCAAGGCGTAGGCCGGCAACGTGGCAGCCGCAGGGCTTGAGCTCTTTGCTGGAGGTCTTGGTATTTCGCATGTTGACCTGGCTGTTCTTCCATCCTCGAATTGAAGCACCATGAGGCCCCCCACCACACTCGACTTAGCATCCCTCAAAAGTAAACGTTATAGTGAGCATGCAGCTGCGCATATCCCGAGCCATGCAGCGTGCACGGCGTCCAACAGGAATTGCTCTGTCCCCACGTGCAGAGTCAGGGCTGCTTGAGTAAACATGGGCAGAACGGAGCGTGGTCTGAGGCTGGACTCCTGGTAGTGGCGATCGTCGCAAGTCGAGGTTGCTTGCTGAACCTTTCGTTTGCTGCTGACAGATGGATTACGAGTGTTCCCAGGAATCGGACGCAATTTCTCCACGCTTTGTTGTCCACAGTGTAGCAACTTGGATGCAGAAGCAACCATGCGTAGGAGCGGATGAGTGCATCGTATCCGGGTACAGCCAGCCGATTGAAGGCAGTTCTAGACATGCCCATGCAGAGATGCACGGGACACCGAGCAGGCCAGTTCTCTGCTTCTTGAAGCTTTTCCGGCTGGCACTGTGGCTCAGGGCTCGCCACTTTCTCCTCCCGCGCCCTTCGGCTGTGTCAGAGGCAGCTGGTTCATGTGCTGAGTCTCTGCCACTGGACCGACTCGGCAGGTCACCGCCTCGTGGTCGGAAACGGAGCGCAAGGCTCTGGAGCTCCTGGAGGACCTTTAAGCACGGCCCAGTGGCCGGGCAGTGGCCGTTTGGGATCCGTGTCCTGCTCCTGCGCCAGGAGAAGCAGCCGGCAACGAGCTCAGTGGGACATCAAGGGCTGGGTAACAGGTTCACAGCAACAAAAACCGGTGAGCTGATGATGGATGCTTCATATTCAGCATGTGATTCAGAATGCATTAATCTTGCATGAGGGACCAGCCAAAGCGAAAAGCCACTGCTGTCGGAGTGTCTCAGTGTGGCCGATAAGGGCGGTTTCAGGCATCTGGTTGGGTAATTAGCCCGGTGTGGGCACCGCAAGCCGCAGCTCTACCAACTTCGGTGTGCGGATGTAGCTCCCGTCGAGGCCTGGCGACGGAGCTACCTCGGACCCAAGACTGAGGTCGGTTAGGCAGTGGCATTTGGAACGCCTTCGCTGCGAGCGCTCAGTCCACTGAGGAGGACGTGCAGGAGACCTTTCGCGCCATCGCGGCCGCTGCTGGCGGTGAGGAAGGGCCGACTTACCCTGCATGTCTTCGCGTGACAGTGGAGCCTAGCCACGCGTAGCCTCCAGGAGCAAGGCCTTAAAGCCGTGGAGCGAAATCTCGCACTGATGGTCTTTTTGCCCAAGCAGATTGCCGCCTCTGCCGAGGCTCCTTGCCCCAAGAATCCGAGATCTGGGTTTCTGCTCGGATGCAGGCCTTGTCTGCTGAATTGGGCCCGGACGTTGCCAAGGATGTGGCAAGCTAAGCATCACAGCGTGTCATAGCACTTGTCCGGAGAGATGTTGTCGGCCATCAGAGGGCAGCCGTAGCTCTTCTCTCGTCCGAAGAGTGCTTTCCCCTCCCAGGTTATTCGAAAGAACCCTGGGGTTTTGACTGTGCCCCCGGCAAGCATCAAAGAGAATGTTGGGCCGCTCGGCCATGTTTGTGTCGTGTGTCTGCTTCTCAGTGTGCTGGTGAGATGGGCCAGGGCAATTGTTCCATTGGCCAATGTGGTTGGCTTCTTTGGGGACAATCCTCTTATTGCCAGGGCCTCTTCGCAGTGCCGCCTGATCCGAAAACACTGGAAGTATCCATGGAGACACGAGCCAATAATTGATTGAGCTAGGCCCAGGGACTCTTCGCCGTCCTTGGAGCTGCTGTTATCTACGCCGTCGTTGTGGCCACTTGCCTTAAGCAGGAACCTGGTGTCGACCAGTGCTTGGCTGATTGTGTCCAAGGTAGGCGTGATCAATCCCCTGATCAAGGCGGTGCAGTTGATGCTAGATAGCCCTTGGGCCATCGGTGTGCCGCGCAGGCTTATCCCGGCAATCAACCATGAGCCCTGGCGAGCCACGGCAATTTAGGAAGGGTTTGCGAGAGGTCAGCGAAGTGGCCACAACAAGTGGCCACTTCCCGATCGGCTCGAGGCAAAGCGGCAAGGCCACGGGGCATTCGGCTCGATGAGTCCGATTGCCAAGCGGGACTTTAACCCTAACATCAAGGAACAAGGGCCTTCCGGCATAGGACATGTTTCAGTTCCGCTACTCAGAGGCTTGCACCCATGTTGCCGGCCATGGATTTCACAATTCTACGGTGCAAGGGCACCTCATGAAAGCGAAAAGATTCCAAGCAAGGGTACTGCCCCGAAGAGCTTCCTCCAACATGACAGGTGCAATTCTCAGACTTCATCTGGGTGCTCCGGTGAATGTTCCAAAGCTGTTCACTCAGCCGGTTTCAAGAAGATGTGCAGCGCATGCTTTCTGAAGCTGCTGTGGCACTGTCCAGGTTTCGATCCTTGGGGCCGCAAGACGAGGATCCTGTGGAGACCTCGGTCAGTTCTCCGAGGAGTAAGCTGATGGATCCTCGAATGATGAGAGGTGCTTCTAGATGCCTCTCATAACAAGGCCCAGGGCCCAGAGAAAAACGCAAGCCTTGCCTTCGCTCTTCATGTTAACCTTCCTGTCGGCGGCAGGCTTCAGAGCGAAGTGCTGAGCTGAGGTGCCTTGCTTCCAGCTATTCTTCATGCTTTCAGATATTCTTTTTTGCAGGAAGAGGCTGTCGTCCACCTGATTTTCGCCTGCCGGTTCGCTTGCAAAATTGGCGCATCACGACTGCTGGATCAAGTCTTGCGGCTTCTTCTACGCATGTCTGCATCGCTCCAGCATGGACCGGTTGTCTGTTCACACCATGTGCTGCCTTCGCTTGTCTCTTGGATTGGTCAGCTTCAGCAGTGCCACCGATTTCTCTGCACCCTGATGAGACGATCTCGGAAAGACCTTTGTCCGAACTGTTCCTCTGGCACCCAGAAAGCAAGAGCCCCCCCTGCCCCGCTTTCCATGGCATGGTTTCGCTCAATGATCTGGACCAGCAGATCGAAGCCCTGGAGGCGCCCGGGCTCCCAACACGACCCAAACCCTACATTGCCCCGCACCATCCGCTCCTGTCGCCGGTGTTGGGGTCTCTCGAGGACTCAGAGTCAGAGGACGTGGAGTCGGAGTCAGAGAAACCCAGTCCCGCCAAAGCCATCCCTTCAAAGGCCCCGCTGAGTAGCGCAGTCCACAGATCAGCAACTGAAGATAGAGCCGCCGCCAGAAGAGACATGCTGCGACAACGACGCCAGCGTCGAGCCCTTGCTCTTGCTATTCACGTCACGGTCATCGAGTCAATAGGCTCTTTTCCTTGACTCCGAAGCTGTGTTTTGAGCCCAGGCCCAAAGCGCCGAAGGTGCCCAAGGTGCCCAAGGTGCCGAAAGCGAGCGACGAACCCGAGCCAGGCGGATCTCTGGACGCTGCCAGCATTCTTGGGTCAAGTTACGGAAAGTGGAGAGGTGCCACAGTGCCACAGGTGAGGAGCCACCGTTGCAGAAAAGGCGGAGGAAGGACCCAAGTGGCCGTAGGTCCGTCGGTTCATGAGCTCAGCATCAACTAAGATACAATCGCATGGTTGTGATCGCAAAAGCAGCATGCTTGTCAGCATCTGCAGCCGTTCCGCATTAATTAATTCAGGTTGGAGACTGAGCACCAGTGTTTCATGACGTCTTGGGCGCAAGTTTGCCCAACATCGGAGTAGCCTTGCCCTGAAGTTTTTCGAATTCGGAAATCCCTCTCTCACAACATTGCATTGACGTGGAATGACACTTGCCCACAAGCACACCAGTCCAAGAAGTGAACACGGCTGGTAGTCATGCAGCACGTCGGCGCCGCCGTCTGAGATGTCCAGCGATGGAGGCAGCCATCGACGCAAGGCTACGGCTTCCCAGATTCGAGTTGTTGCAGCAGAATCTGCAGGATCGCTGTGTCACACCAGAGGATGGTGCTTTGGCAGCACAGATCACATTAGTGACACATCGAAGGCTGCCAAGGGTCTACGTAGTGGTTGTTGCAAGGACCGGACGAAAGTGTTGAAGCCCTTGGCTTCGGTGCGGAGAAGTCCAGGCCAAGGTGGAGATCCGTCGGCCAATCAGAGCTGACGGAAGCTGATGTCTTCGCGGAGGCCGGCCAACCTGCCAAAGTGAAACTCGCATGGCGTGCCTGGCCTGGCTTGAGGAGCGTGAGTGGCTACAAGCTCGCTCTCAGCGCCTCTTTGCTGCGCGAAGACGGATCGAAGTCAGCAGCTCAGGAGGCTCAGCAGATCGCAGTCTGGCATGCAGCAGTGTGCCAAGAGTGGCTCAAGGAAGTCTGAAAGCCGCGCAAATTTGACTGCTTCGCAGCTGCGCTCGAAATTTGTCACAGTTTGCTAGTTCGAAAGAATCTGACATGCTCCCGCTGCAGCGCGATTGCCACATTTTGAAAACCACGTCAACGTAGGCGCTTGTCCCACAAACACTCGTTTTCAAACACGAAAACACACCAACGAGCAGAACTGGGAGCATTCAAAGTCGCGGCAGATGTGGGATGGGGAGCACACTTTGGACTTGCCAAGGAAGCCATTGCCTCGGCTGCCGACGAAGTCAAGCCTGAATCCTTTTCGATTGCCCTTTCCGGTAGGGGCCTCGATGGGCCTGGTGGCCTGGTGCGCTAAGTCACGTTGCATTCTGCTTCGCGGCTTCTAAGGTGGGGGCATCCGTGCTGCTGCATTTCAGGACCGCAGTCATCGCGGAAGCAATGTTTCGTCCCACCCCAAAGGTCCCTTCCAGTGGCAGGCTGGCGTGCTGTGGCGGCTTGCGCATGCTGGACAGCTGCAGGAGAAGACTGCTTTTGCCTTCCGATTCAGGGTCTCCTCAGTCCTGCGAGGACGCGGAGTATCTTGCGGCTGTTTCTGGGGGCGGTTACCTGGCTTCAAGCTTCGCTTCCCACTTGGCCGCAGCGGAGAGGCCCGACCCTCTCCTGGTCCTTTCGGCTTCAGCAAGGGTGCTCGGTTGCTGCTTTTGAGGCAGCCTCAAACTGGGGCCACTCGGCAGGAGGCCTGAGACTGAGGAGGCGTCGGCCGCAGTCCACTGTTTACATTGTCTTGGTGCAGGTTGCGGACTTCTACCTCGATGTGCTTGCGCCGTTCTAAGTCTTCAGTCTTAAGCGTTTCAAGTTTCCAAAGGTAGATGAACGGCCCAAGGCAAAGACGTTTTGTCGGATGCAACAGAATGCTGGTGGATTTCTGCGTGATCCCACAGTTTGACACCGAGTTCTGTTGCGCGTTGCACCATGGGGATGGATACAGATGCCCGTACGTTTGCTGCATTCAGGCAGGACCAAGAGGGGAGAGCAGCTGGAGGATTGCTTTTCGGCTGCCGAAGGACGGCTCAGGCATGCTTCCCCGTACCCCGGCTGAGTGCGGGAACTCTCGAGCTCAAACTCTCTGAGGGCTCAGCTCCTCTTCATGAGGCATCTTCGACGGCTTGCTGCTGCTTCTGACGCTTGCCACCACTCTGGCCCTGAATCCCTTGCAGATCACTGTGGTGTGGCTCGCGCCTCTTCTGCAAATCAAGATGCGGAAGCACTCCTTTGTTGAAAAGCCCACAGGTGCCCTTTACAGAAGCACTGAACGTCTTCTATGGCACAGCCCTTCGCATAGCCTTCTGCGCGCAGGGCTCCACGCCCAGGAACATTCTCGCGTTTCCCTTTCGACTTGTCTCATCTCCGAGCTTAAGTTGCCCGTTTCCAAGGTCTGCCGCATTGGCAGATCTTGTGGGATTGGTCTCCATACGGGACCTTCTTGAGATTCTTCGAGGCTATATCGGCTATCGGAGCTCTGAAGACTGGGGGGGGGGGGGGGGGNNGGGGGGCACGGCGCAGCCCGCGGGCATCTGCAAAGTGTTCGCAGTTGACGGCTGGGGTGAACTTCGCCTTCTGGCTCCTGTCAAGGCCAAGCCGTTAAGTCACCAACTGACCTGGCCTTTGACCGTGTGCAAATCAGGTTTGCGAAGAGAGCAAGCTCGTCGGCATCACCCAGGCACGGCACAGGTGTGGCAGTGGGAGGGTCCTTTCAGTTTTTTTTAAAAGGTGCTACCTCTTCGTCAACGGCTGTCTTGCTTGTGCCGCGCGGTTCCTTGGAGTTGCGCCCTGAGTCGCAAGGTACTGTCCACAAGTCTTTGCTCACGGATCGCCACTGTTTTATTCCGTCAGACATAGAAACAGGTAATGCTTCTGCTGCTGGTGATGATCTTTGCGCTGCCGTATGTGGAGGACGCTCTTCCAAAGCACAGTGGCCACGCAGTGAAAGTCCGAGCTGTCATCCAGTGTCCCAAAGATGCATGAGATCGCTAGTCTGTTGTTTCCTTAAGCAGGACTGGTCGATTCCGGAATCCGGGGGCCTGACTTTGCAGCAGAGGCGATGCAGACCAAGACCAGGCATACTTCATTCATTCGAGCTGTGCTGCAGTAGCTGACAGGTCTGCTACGTGCGAGGAGCACTTCAGGCAAAGGGGTCAGACATGCTTGGAAAGTTGCTTCGCTGTGATCAACTGCTCGTACCGACGAAACGAGGGCAGCTAGTCCATTGACGGGTGGCTGCGAGAATGCAGATGTCTTCGCCGAAGCGGGACGCTCTGTGGATGAGGACTTGAGCAGCACAGGGGCAGAGCCGATAGAAGTTCAAGGCAATATGACGAAGCCTGACGAAATCACGATGTCTGAGTCGCGCAGTACATTCGCTTCAACGCAAGCGCGGTGCAAAGAGGCATCACTCCAGAGGCCCGTGCAGAGTATCGGCACACCTCATGAGTGTCCACATCACTGATTTCAGGTGCAGGCCGTTGTGCTCCCGGAAAACTCCACGGCCGTGGCTGGCCCCGACGTGGCAGTCTTCCTGGTTTTTCGCGAACTTCTTTTGAAGGGTGACCGTTCAGTGCTGATCACCTTCTTCGGCATCCTGGTGTTCCTGCTGACTGTCACGGCTCCTCGACCGTGACAGCTCGGACTCTGCAGCTTTCGGTCCTTGCCTTTGTCGCTAATGTGCCAAAAGCCGAGGTGCTTTTTGCACCCTTCCTGCCCAGCCTATTCATCTCGGTGTCCCGGCGAACCTTCTTCAGCACTGCTTCATGCTAGGATCTTGCACACATCATGTGAGGTGGTGACGATCACTGGCCCTTTGCTTGGTCTGACGATGATCATGCTGATGCTCCAGTACAGAATCTATGGACCCCTAACAGGCGCGGGGCCACGAGCGAAAGCATTGCGGGACCTCTAGGGCAGCACAGTGGAAGCTCTTGCACATGTTGAAAATTGTTGGCACGTGCTCGCTCGTGGGCCTCGAATCGGCAGGTCAGGCTCTGATGTTTGGGCAGCTGCCCTTCTCCGAAGTGAAGTGGCGTATGTTCGACGGTCCCTCAGTGCAGGTCCAAACGTCGAGGCCTGAAATGTGGAGAGGAATCATGTACCTCCAAGGTTCGCGTGTGCTTAATGGCTGGCATCGTCGTTGTGCCGTTCCACAACGAGCTTCGGAGACTTTGGCATTGGTCGCATGGCTTTGTTCAGCCGCAGCAGTTGGGCATTCACATGCCGTATGATGTCGCAAGCAGAAAACCAAGGAGCATGGCATTGATTCTTGCTAATTTCTTTATCATATCAATTCTCTCTGCATTCCTTTTACTGTCTCCAAGTTGCTGTACATGAGTGCCGCAAATAGCAAAGACCTGTGGCTCCTGTACCTTGTTGCTTTTGCTCTCCTGCCTTCTCTTGTGCTCCTTCTTGACTTCTTCCTTCTCCGTTGCACTGTTACAAAGAGCAAATGCGAAAAGTACAGTAGGATGATCCACGCGATCATTCCTATCAGTGTTCCTGTACACACTATTTGCTCAATTCCTTGAAACACAACTCTGTGGGAAATGACTTCCTGAATTTTTTCATGCACGACGGCATGAAGCTTTTCTTCCACGGTTGCTAGCTTTCCTGCGAAGATATGAACATGTTCCTGTACGAACTGTCTCAGTACTTCTTTGTGTCGTTGGTTTTCTTCGACTGGTTGTCTTCGTAGCCGGACTCAAGGCTCTGACTCTCCTGGTTCTCGTTGCCGTTAATGTTGTTCATCGCTCGTCCTGTCTCCATGTAGAACCTGATCAAGAATGTCAAGACCTCACCCACCATCGCTCCGTCAGGTACTACTTGCGCACCCTTCAGCGCAACTTTTTCCACGGTGGTAAGGCTGCATCCATGCTACATGCTGTCATAGTCCACCCGCCTTGTCTGATCTGTGCAGGACCTGCCCTTCTCCAAGCTAGCAGAGCAGCCGCTCTGTCCGCTTCTGATCCTTACAGGCACCGAAAGATCCCGAAATTCTCGGCCTGGCATGTCGTCGTTCCTGCAAGGTACCGTGACAGACTACAGGCGGCTCGGCAAGCAGACGTGGCCGCGACTTCTCCTGGACCGTACCCAAACGATCGCGGAGATTTCGTTCACTGCGCTGCATACTGGCAGCACCGCTACAGGCAGCCTTCGCTTGGCGATGTTGTGTTGATGTGTGCTACACCGTGGCTGCTTCGTCTTCTGCAGTCATGCTTGTGGGCAGGCTTTATCAGGACCACGTACTTTCGGACGCTGGCCAAGTGTACAGCCTTGACAGGAGCAGGCCGTGTCAAGCATTTTCGATGTTCATTCACGGGGTAGCAAAGTAAGCGATGCTTGCTTCTCTTGCTAAACAGCCTTTGCTTGTTTCTGTTTTCCAGTATCCAGGCTCGCTCCTTTACCATACCCTTTTCAAGCTTAAAGTTAGCACTTGCAGGGCAATGTGCGTAAATGCTTTCCTAGCTCTGGTCCTGTACATGCAAGTGAAAGGGTGTTCACGCGAAACTCTTGAACTCTAGAAGCCATTGTCTCGACAGCTGCTTGGCTTGCTTGACAAAGATGTTGAGAATTACGTCCTTTATCTTTTCTGTTGCGGCCACTTGTCATCTTTGGAGTGCTGCGTGCATTTGGTTTGCTACCTCTCACTACGAGGCTTGTAGCCTTGTTTCACTGTGCAGATCTGCTCGAGGCTGCCTGGACGCTTTGAGCCTTAGTATGTCGAATCGAGCCTTGGATCATGCGTTTTTCTCCTGTCCGCAACTGCAACGTGCCACTGATGGTGGCTCTCCGATATCTGCCACTCCCCGAGTTTTTGACCTAAGGATTGCGCTTTCGGTTTTGGCTGGAAATCCTCAACCTCAGCTGGGGTGACTACATCTTCTTCAGCAGGCTGCCCACACCGGATTTGACGATGTGCTGTCCTCTTGATACCATTTCCGGGGCTTGGAGTTGCGGCATGTAACTTCTGTCAATTCTGAGCACTTGTACTGGCAGGCGAGGTGCGAACAGGTACGTCGAGCGTGTGGCCAACGTGCTGCAGACGGAGGCCGCTGATGGATTGTCAGGCTCGCATGGGTTTGCACTAGCACGCCGGGATGCAGGCTGGTCGGAAATTCCGGTGGATTGCACAGCAGCCTGCCGCTCAGTTGCTGTCGTGTAATCCATGTCCTCGTTTCTAGTTGGCACGTCCCGTCCGAGGTTTCCGGCCCTTTTCATTTGGGCCAGTACTCAGGCCGCCCTGTCATTTGTTCACTACTTGGTGCTTCATGCGGCCTCGTCCGGCCGAGGTGCTGCTTACAGTCGGCTGGAACAGGATGTACAAGCCGGAGAACACACTGGAGGCTGGGCTTTGCTGGTGGGATTGAGTGAAGCAGTTGCTGGCGACCTTGTGGTGTTGAGGCCGTTTTGGTGAACTAGAAACTTGGGTTTGGCTCTCGCAGTTGCGGCCGATAGCCTACGAGTGTTTGTCGGGATTAGATGGAGGTGTTCCAGGGGTCTTCTTGAAGATGGTCGTGACGGCTGACTGCACATCTTGCCTCCTGCAGACGTCTCCTCCCTACACCTTCTCCCCCGTTCCACTACCTGCAAGAGAAAATCATTGCAATCGCGTCACGGTCATGCAGAAGACAGAGACTTCGAACTCACGGAACGATAGGCCGCAACCTGCAGACGTAGAAAGGATTGCAGCGTGGCCAAATCGCTGGTGCTTGCCTCAATCGGTCTCTGCATCAGCTTGATCGCTCTTAGTTGCTTGGCAGGAACTGATTTCGAGGGGAGGGCGGCTAAGAGAGCAGCATCGTTGGGCGAAAATGATGTGACGATTTAGTTTGTCATAGAGCACGATAGAGTAAACAGTAAGCATCTCATGAAGCTCCAGCCGCATTGTTTTTACTGGTTGCCATTCGCACCGCACTTTGTGTATTGGCTTGTGGCCTTCATGTCTTTATGTTGTGCCTGCTGTTCAAAGAAGACAGCAGTTTCGAGGCAGGCTTCCACGAGATGGAACCAACAGCTCAAGCCTTGTAAACGACTGCATCGGCATCCAAGGCTTTTTTGCCTTTTTGCCCGGTCTTCACTGCCTCATGGTGTCGCCGATCATCCGCCAGTTTCATCAGGCCTGCAGTGGCGCACGAAGGTCGGCTGGTTCCACCAAGTTGCCTGAAGGCTACTCGGTTCATCTATCGGGGTGAGCGCGCCCCACGGCTGGTTTATGTGACAGATGGTGGTGTGCAGGACCTTTTGCACAGAGTGCCTGACATATGAGCACAGGAACTTTGAGGGGCCATTGGTACTGCCAGGACTGCACAGCGATTGTCCAGCTCATGCGACGCCGCCGTAAAAGGATCCTTCTGGTGCCTGGCTCTGCCCTTCTCGTGGAGTTCGCCCTTGATATGATTCGTTACAACAGCCTGCATCAGGTGCTTGCTGCCGCCGATCCGCACGACGAGCTGGAAGTGCTATGGAGTGCGATGTGTTGTGCCATCGATCAGCAGGCTGCCTGCGACGCTGAATTTCAGTCTTTAACCTCGGCCGCTTTGGCACCACAGGTTGGAACCTTCTTCGATCCCTCTGGCAACTATCGCGATGTTCGTGCGGTGATGCAGGCTGTGCCAAGTGGTTGGCATCGGAAACTCTTGCCCAGCCATGGTGTAACCTCTAGAGGCTGTGAGCTGATGGGAGCTGTGACCTGACAGGAGTTCGGCGACCGGAAGGTGGGCGATGCTGAGTCCTGGACCTGGTGCTCAGGGGGGCCCTTTTGGACTTGGCAGGAGATGCCTTTCTTGCGTCTTGGCATTCGCTACGGCGGCTGGTCTCATGCAAAGGCAGGCAAGTGTGGCTGTGCAGCGCCTGCCTACGTCCCTTCTTCGAGCAGGAAGCTCCTACCTTCTCGTTGCTGGGTGAGCTGCTTGTGGTGAAGAACCGGATGCCTCCCTGCCTTCGGGGGATGCAGGCGGGAGTCTGGGGCCCAAGATGCGACACGTGTGGCACGCCATGGGCAGGCTGGCTCTTTGTTGACGGAGGAAGAGGCCTGCCTTCACAGTCTCCGCAGGCCGCAACGACATGGATTGGGTCAGGTCAAGTCAGGGAGACCGAGCTCGGGCAGAACTTTGGGCTGCAGGCCGCGTCTGCTTCGGCTGCCTAGCATGCGTTTGATCTGAAGCAGAGGCAAGCCCTGGAAGCCGAAGACCTCGGTGGTTTCTGCTGCTGCGACTGCTGCCACGGGATTGGATGCACCTTGGCAAACCACACAACCTGGGCTTGTGACTTCTGCACGTCGGGTTGGGTCGCTTCCTCCCCGGTCCCTTGTGCTCGCCCGGCGGTCGGCGAGGCAACTGCGGGCCAAAGTTCCCGCATCTTTCTGGAGCCAACTACTTATGGCTCACACCGCCAGGCTCTTGGAGTGACGTCTCAGTGCGAGTCGTAAGGGCTCTGCCTGCCTCCGAGGATTCTCTTTGCCAACTTATGCCGGCTCGGGTACGAGGCGGATTTTGCACGGCAAGGGCAGGTGGAGCATTCGGAAGCCACTGGATCCCCAGCTTCCCTCCTCTCTCTGCTGCTGTTTTCAGCCACAGACGCAGTCGAAGCCTCGCACGGTAAACCCAGGGAAGCATGACTCTGCATGCGAGGGCCTCTCGCTCGAGATCTCGAGAGAAGACGTGCCGCTCGCTGGGTGAAGTTGTCCTTTGCACGCAGACGTGCACAATTTCGACGACTTTGGGAGACGCCTGCGATCAGCTCATCGCGTCTGGTCATACAGGAACCCTCGTGATGCACGAGGGGGAAGTCGTGGGAGTCATCACGGAGAATGACATCCTGGCCGCCCTGATGGATGGCATTGACCGTGACATTCAACTCGACCTCTGGCTGCGTGGAGGACAAGCAAGACTCCCAGGATGCATGGTGAACGCTTTGACCATGACCCCAGCAATGAGCCTTTTGAAAGCTGCCGAGAGAATGGCTTGCCAAGCGGAGAAGGACTCGGGCTACGCCTGCCATCACTTGCTCGTCTCCAACGGTTCGCAGCCTCACTTGGTGTCAGATCTTGATGTGGTAGCCTTGTCTGCACTTTTTAGCTAGCCGCTAGCCTTAGCTTGGCTGCTCCTTCAATCCCTCAGTTTGTGTGCCGTTTGTCGAACGAAGGCCAAAAGCTTGATCAGCAACCTGCCCAAGAGGAGCAGGGACGCCGTGTTCGTGGAAGTCAAGGAGGCCTTACGGTAAGCCCTTGTTTGCGTTTGTCTCAAGTGTTCGCTCCCCATAGCATCCCAGTGTTTGTTGCGGACTCGTGCAGGCAATGAAGCCACGCGCAAATGTCGCAACATGCCGGCTCGGTGACAAGCTCATAGATGCGTACCGTATTATGTACGAGTCCAGGCAGAACTGTGTATTGGTGCTGGAAGGACTCGGGGATGTGGAAGGGGAGAATGTCCTCAATCCGGAGGACGAGGGCAGCCATATCCATGGTGTCATCACGATTTCAGATGCGATGCGAACTTTCTCAGAGTGCCAAACTGGCGACAACATACGAGTGCAAGGCTTTCTGAATGGTTTGACTGCAGCTGAACACTTCACAGCTCCCGGAAGAAGCATCCTCGAATCACAGTCCCTTTTGGAAGCTGCAGAGCTCATGAGCGAACTTGGCATCCATCATTTGATTGTTCTCAGCGCGAGACATGACCAAAAAGAGATTGTAGGCGTTCTTTCCGCGCTGGACATCATCTGTGCGGTGAGTTCACCGAGCTGGCTTCATGGAACAGACGGCGGTGCTTGAAAGACAGAGTCTCATCAGCTCTAGCCGTGAGTACTCGATAGTGCCACAGATGTGCATACAGAGAGTAGCATTGTACAGATTGTCCAGTTTCCCCAAAACTTGAGCGGCTTGCGGTGCAGTCGTCCTTTTAATTCGGGCTCCTATGCAGCAAGCGCACCCTGAGCATACTTACAGAAGTTGCTCTTCCGTTTCAAGTCCCTGGGCTTTGATATCTGGGGAGAACACAGAACTTTGAGAACAACTCCCAAAGCAGCGACACAAGCGAGACCAGCGAGCTGCGCATGTTTATCGAGTTCGCGAGCCGTGACTTGTTTCCCTTCCGCATGAGCTCTGCTATGCCACAAGGCCTCTGAAGAGGTGGTTGCTGCACTGGAAGCAGGGCCTCGCACGCCGGCCGGCTCTGTGCACCTTGGGGGCAGTGAGTCCGTCATGTACAATCCTTTGATCGCTCTGCTCGGCTGTTGCAAGGTGCTTCCAACAGGAAAGTCCCCAAAGCAGCTCGGCTGAGTTTGTTTCGTTGGTACGACAAATCTCGAGATGCTTATGTTCTAAGGTGGTCGGAAGTTCGCGAAAGAGTGTTCTGAGTCCTCAACATCTGCACCCATTGCTTTGTAGGCACAGGGCAGGGCCAACACTGTTTCGAGTCTGCCAACTCCGGAAGGCACACTGCTTGTTCGGCCCATGTCGGTTAATGCACGACCAATACCCCGAAAGGGGGCATTGCCAGAGTGTTTGTGAACTCTAACGTGCATTCAACATCCCGGATGCTCACATGCACTCTCGTGGCGCCCATGTGGGAAAGCTGTACAGCCCACAACTTGAGATAAGACTTTTTGCGGTGTAGTTTTTGCAGCCAAGAGTGCGCGCAAGACCTAACACCACCCTGCCTAGCACGTGGGGAAGCTGATGCATTTGATCCAGTGATTCCAACCAGAGGCTGCTTTCGGACGGTCATGAAGCCACGCGCAGGCGTATAAAAGGAGAGAATCCAGCTCAATATTCCGAGCATGTGAAGTCTTCAGGACAGAGCGTCTCGAAACGCCGTGTGCTTTCGCTACTTCAAAGGCACTTGCCACTTCGAGGCCAGAAAGCCTCGCATCTGCGAATCCAACTGAGTGCTCCTATACGACAGGATTGCAAGTTTATGCACGTTAGCCCACAGAAGCTGACGAACGAGGAGCGTGCGCAGGCGAGGGGCTGGTCGTGGTGGGTTCTCGGTAGTTCTCAGGAGATCTCCAGAGTAAGGGTCATCGGGGTCATCCCCTGCATCCTCTACCGCGAAGCAGTCGACAGATCACCCCTTCCGCATTTAGGGTGGTATTTTCGCACATGCTGTCGTTTTCCGTGTTAAGTCCTGGTGGTATGGAAGCCACTGAGTCAGTGCGCACCCGAACGACCTGGACAGAAAGTTGTGGACCTTCAGAGATCGGACCAACAGCATGCACATGACACGTTGGGCAGGTTCAGCCGTGGGAGACAGTTAAGATTCTGTGGGCAAGCACTAGGGAGTGCCGTTGCAAACAAGGTAAAGAAGGTGCATCATGAACATCACTCGTGTCTTCCTTCACCCCTACGCGTGTTTGCATTCACCACGGGACCGTCTTGCAACTGTGCCAGCTGCAGGTGTTGCGCGAGCTTCCTCTCCGAAAGTTCAGCCAGAGCTTTGTCTGGGTGGCATCATGTCATGTGCTGTCTTTAGCGAGTGAATATGGGCACCAGAAGGGAAGGACGGAGACGCGCTCACAGCCGAGGAAGCTGGCCGATGTGATCGCAGGCCCGACAATGTAAGTTCAACCATCCGAAAGCCTGCGCCGTGCCATATCCTGAAGGCCTGAACATCCCACGCTGCAAAGACTTCCATCAGTGCAGCACTGAGTCGAAGTGTCATGACATGCTGGCATGCTCGCAGTCTCGGTTTGCTGCACAAGGGATTAATTGATCTGTTCTCAGTTATGGCCCGATGTCCGAGCTGTCTGCAAGGCGCGGTGGATGTAAGCGACCTCCTGGAAGGCCGACTCCAGCCTTCTCTGCAGTCTGGCAGTCATGCCGGACGCGCAAGCGAGGTGCCACTTTTGGCACTTGACGGATGCAAACGTTGCTCGCTGGGCCGGCTTTAACTTTTGGTGCGAGACATGCTCGAAGGCACGGCGCAGCGCCAGCATGCAGAGAGTCTGGCAGTTGTCGAGACTTGCAGGCTTTCACCTCAAAGGAACAGATGCTAGAGCCGTGCCCTCAGTCCTCCCTCGGAGACCCTCGGAGCTTCACGGGCCGGTTTAGGAAGCTCCGAAGTTGCGGAGATCCCGAGAGCCTGGCCCGCGGAGATGGCCTGCGTCCCTTCCACGAAACAGGCATCGCCCCACGCAGTCCCAAGAGGAAACAAGTCCTTCTTTTGGCTTCAACTTACAACTGCCCTGTCCCCAGGGCAGCACACTGAGTTAATTTCTGCAAACACCACGTGTCGCGATATCAAAGAGTTGTAGCCGAAGGCGTTCAACAAATGCGGGTGACTCCGAGCAAAATGGGAGCGGGCATCGGTGAGATTCACCACAGCTTTCATCCAAGCCTGCTTCGAGCCCAAGAAATGTTCTGCAGACTGCGTATTTGGGTAACCGTTCGGGTAATCCCACTGATCGCGACGATTGTAGTGCTGAACCTGCAAGTCATTGAAACGTCGACGCATGCACTGCACGTTTGGACCTCAATGTGATCCTGTGCCTCCGTCCTGCATTTTTACATCATGTCCTCGCTCTTAAAGATCGGGTCTTTGCCTTTCTCCCTCTGGGCAGGTTCACGCTCACCGTGCTCACAACCTGCAGGTTCTGCTCATTGAAGAAGCCATGTGGCATGTGTCAAAACCTAAGCTAAGAAGATGCAGGTGTGGGTGGGCTGTCTCGGTGTTACTCATAGTCACCCCGGACTGCCCCAGGCTTTTCAAGGTGTCAGGCCGGTACTGCGGCAAGTATCAACACAGCGAACAGGGCAACGTCGGTGCAAGGGAAGCTTTGGAGTGAGGCACGAGCAGTCAAAGCCTCACTGCGAGCGAGCCGGCATTAGCTTCTCGGGAAGGCTGGGCATGTTTTGTGTCTCTGCCCTCTTGAAGCTTCTGTGTGAGCACACGAGGCTTGGGCAGAAAAATGCAGGCGGACAAGCAACTTGCGCCGAGAGCTCTCAAGTCGTTTCAGTTCCCTTCTTCCGAGGACCCGCCAAGGCAGCCCCCCGAGCTCGAGGAGGTCGTGGAGACCGTGGCGGTCGTGGAGGCCGTGGCCGTGGCTACAGTGGCTACAGCCTGGGATCTCAGCAGAAGTTCGGCAGTTCCCTCCCTTTGGCTCTGTGGCCCAAGGTGGGGAGCCGGAGTCTGACCGGCCTGCAGCCAGGGGACGAGGTCGAAGTTCTGCAGAAAATCGGCGATGACGAAAAAGTCCCAGCTCACAGGGGCACCAGGTCAGTCACTGGTTTGCTTCGTGAGATGGCCATCTGAGCCTCGTGTTCTGTTTTACATCTTCCACTCTGCGCGCTCTACCACTTTTGCCCCCACGGGCACGCAAGCAAGCATACATTCTTGTGCGTAGGGCCGCGGGGCATAGGGTGGAGCTTTTTTCCACATCAGGCTGGGGGAGGCACCAACCAGAACACGCTGTCTCTGTGAGGGAGGGTGCTTTGGTCAGCTGAAAATCGGTGCAGGTGAGAATGATACCATACATCGGAATGGTCAACTTTGCAGTGCAGGACAGAAAGCCGGCTTTTGAGTGCTTTCGAAGCATCAGCTTCAGTAGCTGCTTACACCCGTCTGGCTACAGAGGAACATAGCATAAAGAGGTAAGGACTAGCTGTCCGCAGCATGCCATGTAGAAGCATCGATTGCTCCAAAAGCCGCAGGCTTCACTTTTGAGGCATAAAAAACAGAAGACGTATTGGTAAGTTGAAATGAAATACATATCCTGTACAGTTACAGCAATACCGCATCTTGCATTTGGTTTTCTCAGGAAAGGACGGCTTTCTCTTCCGGGCTGGTAAGACCGATGCTGTTCGTCTGGAATTGAGTCGGCCTGGGCGGCTCCACCCTTGCCACCGCTTGCCCTGCAGTGCCTGCAGTACTGCTATCCGGGCTACGAGACGGCGCGCCTGCTGTTACAGGCCAGGGAGATGGGTGTTCTGTAGCTAGGACCAAGCGGGTGTGCACTTGGTCGAAAATCGAAACAGCGTCGAAGGACAAGCCGTCGAGCCACCAACTGACACAGTGGACCTTCTACTGGATGATCTGTGCCAGGTGGGGGACTTTCGGGAACCTCAGGAGTCTCGTTTGAAAGAAGTATGTATCTTCGTGCCAGCTTCCTGCAGCTTGAGAGCACGCTTCTAGCCCTCGTCGTGGAGTACGTGCCGCTGTGCCCTGTATGCTACTGCAAAGTTGCGAAACCACATAGCGCACCTGAGAGTGTCGAATCGAAGTCTTTTACGATCTATAACAGGTACCTTGAGTTCAAGACCTTGTGTCTTCTCTGGCTGGTGCATCCCAGCTACAAGGCCTCTTGATCCGAGTGCGAGATCCTGACACATCTTCAATGGCATGGTTTCAGGGTGCGCTATGGTTGTGGCACAGCAAGCTGAAGGACGGGTCTTGATGGAAGGGGTGCCACCACACGCGAAGGCATGTCTGTCATCGTGTGTCGCGTCGTGTCCTGCAGTCAGTGTGACATCGATCCGTACTGGTATACAGTGAGAGCCGAGAAAAGTATTGGCGTTCTGCAGAGCTGTACGGCCAGCAGGAGCAGCCATCATGTGTTCACGACGAAACGCTGAGTGACACCATGTTACACTCATTCATGCTCCATAGAGTATGTAGATCTACAGTGGCCAGTCGAACACTGCACAGCCAGCCCCACATGCACAAAGGCATCACAATGATCCCTGCTGGACGGTGGTCCGTTCTCGTCAGAGCAGTGGCACCTTGTGCCCTCCGGCGCTTTCACACGCAAGACTCCGCGCGTTTCGTGGATGCCTTGTGTGAAAGACGAGTTCTCTTCGTATCGGGAAGCAATGCCCGGGGCCGGGCCTCTGTAGCAGCTGCTGCTGCATTGGCACGTGCATGTAACCAGGGGCCTTCCTTGCTAGTGGACGCTGACGACCCTGTTCACGGCATGGCAGATGTGCTTGGTGAGCACCTCGCCATTGCATTGCAAAGGCATATTATAAATATAAAGTGTAACAGAGAGCAGAGAGGGACCACTCAAGTCTTAAGTGTCCCTGTCAGCCGCCTAGCCGAGGCATGAGCTCCCAAGCGATGGGCAAAGCTTGCTGTGGCTGGAGTCTCCGGTTCAAAAGGAGCAGGTCCTCTGCCAGGCCTCCATTGCTGCGGCACAGCTGTGTGCCTGGACCACACGCGAGTTTCTGGAGGAACTTCTAGCAGCAAAGCGCTGGCGTGCCTTATTGGAGGATGGCACCGGTGCACGGCTTGTTGCAGCGATGGGCATGCCCATGCAAGAGTTGCTTGGTGTTCTGGATTGTGTCCAGCCACCTCCAGGGGCAGAGATGCCTGTAGCACTGGCCCAGCTCTTGCAAACCTCCAAAGACAAAGAACCGATGGGGGCCGTGGTGGATGCAGGAGCGCCTGCCCTGGCAGTGCAACTGCAAAGTGTGCCTCCCGCGGTGGCCGAAGGTTTGGGAGGAGTTCTCCGTCTCCAGGAGTTGGTGAAAGTTGCTAAGCAAGCCGCGGTACCTTCGGCGGTGTCTTCTGGCCTTCAGATGCTTATCGGGCACTCTGATCGAGAGGATTGGCGGGACCACTTTAAGGCGACGATGGCCGGACTACAGCAGCTGCGCCAGGACATGGCTGCGCTCGCCGAGGCCGACACGGGCGTGCTCTTGGTGGTGCATTGGCCCGGGCCAGGCGAACGTGCTGCCCAAAGAGTCGTGGACCGCCTCAGTCCCGTCTGTGCCGTCCTCATTGGCTTCCCGGATGATGGGACCCCGCTTCTCCCCTGGTTGTCTGGCATTCCAACAGTTTCGCTCCCGGCCATGGAGGACGTGCCGTCCTGTAAACCCTTCTGCATGCGCAGCCACAGGTACTTGTAGCGTGGCATGACATAGCTAGACCGCCGGTAGCGCAGTGGGAGTTCAAAGCCGGATGGCTGCGATGAGTTGTGAATCCTTGACCAGCTGTGTGTAGTCCAGCCCGAAAGTTTAAGCTGCTGTGTCCCTTGAAGGAAATATCTCCTGGACTTGGTGGACTGCGCAAGCTGTCTGAAGCCATGCTGCACTCGTAAAAAATGGCTGTCATGCTCATAGACCAGGTGAGTCTTGGGATCGAAGAAACTGCAAAAGCTGCGCAGGATGTGCACCACTCGATCGACAAGCAGTTTTACCCAAAGTTCCTGCAGGCATCTCTGCAGTCTCCGTCAGACGTCAAAAGAGCCTAGGCTCAGGGCTGGAGCAGATGTCTTGGGAGCGTTGAAGGTGGTGGGGGCAAGCACTTCGGCTGAGGCGCGTGAAAGGCTACAGGGCGAGTCTCTCCCTGCATCGCCTTGTGGTGTCACAGGAGCCCCGCGAGACCCAGCAGCCCATGCCAAATGGCCGCCCCCTTAGAGTCCGGCATCACGGACAGTGAGGGTCAGACAGAGTGCAACCTGACTAGATGTGGGCTCCGTATGTCGAAGTGCGCGATCAGCACTATCATCGCCTTGAGATGCACGAACTTGCGGGAAGGTGTCCCCAGCTGCCCGAGGTGCTGGCAAGACGGATTGACTGCTGTCTCTTCCCTGGGCTTTGTGCTCGGCATGCTTTCCACACGGCTCGCTTTGCAAAGTTATTGTGCGAGCAAGGTCCTTGAAGACGAGCAAGCCTTGCATGGAGCCTTCGAAGTCGAGTTGAAGCCGAGATCCTCGCACCGTCGACCCGTGCTTGGGATCCACTTGCAACACAGGCAAGGGACCTTGGATCGCGCTCTCTGTACAGTGCGTGGAAAGGACAGATGCGTAGTGTCGAGGGTTTTGGCAGCAAGTGTTTATGTGGACATGCTGTGAAGAAAAAGCGAGCGAGTCCGCTAACACGATGCGCGACATGGCCAGCCGAGCTCGCCCGTAAGTCAGCGTCTGTCAGCGTCTGCGGCCGTGCCTTCGTTTTCCATGGCTGCCGCTATGGCTTGGGCTTTGGGCAGGCACGGGCCCGGGGGAGTAGGACGGGACTTGGCCCTCCCAGGGGGCGAGGGTCTTGGCCTCAAGCTCTCGGGTGTTCGCTCCGCGCATCGGGTTTCACGTGCGGAGCTGAGGCCGCGGCCTTTCTCCCTCTTGGCTCCGGGCGATGAGTGGGAGTCCCAGCACGGGACAGCTAACAGAAGCACGCAGAACCCATGCCAAAGGCACAAGCGCGGACACGGGGCAGAAAGGTGGCCCTTCTCCGGATGACGAGTGCCCCTTTACTCACTGGCATGTCGTGCTGTGTGTGCCGCGATGTCACAAGGCTTCGGCACTACTTGGTGAGACGCGAGTAGTCAGAAGAAGCATGAAGAAGCATAGTTCAGGGAAGCAGAAAACTTGTTTGCAGGTACCAGGGCCAAATAAGTAGCATTCAGCAGATCTTCGCTGAGTACGACCACAACGGTTCTGGCAAGGTCGGGCAGCCAACAGGCCCAGGGTTGTCTGGTTGCTGTCGCCGCTGGATGGGAAGGTCCGAGTCGAGAGAGTTCCGGATTTGATCGTGAATCTGGGACGAGACCTCCAAGTCGGCAGAGAGGCCGGCCTCTGGCACTCCTAGCAGGTTCCTATTTGCAAGCGATCCTGTGGGTGAGGTTGCCAGGCAGCTGAGCGGCGGCGAGCTCACACCATCAGCTTTCATCAGCTTTGCACAGTTTCGGGTCTGCGCAGAGGTAGCGGTGCAGTGGAGCTCACCACCTTCGAGGAAGTCGTTCAGACCTTGAAGAGAGCAAGCGTCCAAGATGCTGGGGGGACCTGCACTTGGATCGCCCACAGTGGGCGACATCCTTGGCTCCAAGGTAGAGGAGAGCCAGGACCGGGAACCAGACAGTGAGACCACCACACCACTGACTTTGTCGCACCCCTAAGCCATGTTCACATCATCGCAGTTTCTGAGTGCTGCATGCTTGGCCGAGGCTGAAAAGGCTCAACGCCTACCGGAAGCAGTGTGAGTCGAATGGGGAGTGCGCCAGGGGGAGCCATGTAAAGGTGGGTTGGGTGTGAAGTGACATAGTTCGCTGTCCTTTGAGCTTCGGTTAGCTTCGGTTGTCTGCAGTCGTGGTGGCTCAGCGCTCCCTTCTATTTTTCCGGCTGAGTCGTCCTGACTTTCGACAGCGGTCCTGTGTCGGAGCCTTGACAAAAGGGGCCCGTTGACTTGAATGCCGTCGGACCATCATGGCTGTGACGAGCTCGCGAGGTCATGACCTGCTGAGACCTACATGTCACCAAGGCGTCTGCAGGGCCCCTGGCTCTTCTTGGTCACTGGACATTTCGAAGCGTACACACCTCACCTTTGTCTTCAAGGCCTCCCGTCCGATCTCAGTCTGCCAAGCTGACGCTGCGGTCAAGCCGCGGCTTTGGGACAAGGCCCTTTTCCGGTGGTGCAAGGTGCAAGACATTTGGGACATTGCCTGGCTGCTTGCAGGAGATCTCCAACAGCAGGAGACCTCTCCCGACTCCAGCCACCTCCCCCAGTTCAGGCGAGGTATCGGTCAGGTCATCCTCCAGGCGTAAAGCAGTAGGATGCGAAGCTTGTCAATCGCAGGTCGAAGCCGGGGAACAGCCCTCGGGTGTTGTTGCGTCCAAAGATGATGCGGTTATGTGCTCAGTGTCTGGAGTCGTTGTTTCTGTGGGAACAGAATGGGCAACAGACAAGCTGCCCTCATTGGAGCAAGATGTATGTGTCTGGCCGCCATAAGGTTGAGCATGCAGAGCACAATCAAGAGTTGTGCTCGATTTGTCTAGAGGGACTTGCACGCTGGCAGCAAGAAGAAGATGAGCAGCTGGAAGGATTGTGAACTCCGAGTGGGTGTGGTGGTCCGTTGCTCAGGACGATTGCTGCTTCAGCTACCCGTGTGGCCAGGGGCACAGGCAGCTGGGTCAGCTGCAGTCGTACGAGAACGTTGGCGATCCGTGGATCCCTGCTAGGCTGCACTACCACTGCATGCTCCACTTCCTGGGCAGCATCCTGGCCATTCCTTTGTCGGACGAGACCCCTGGGCCACTGCGAAAGGAGCAAGTCCGTGGCGCTGATGCAGCTAGTGTTTGAGGGCAGTTTCCCATCTCATCCTCTTTGCTTCAACCGCTGTCCTGCGAACCTGCTGGACTTGCTTTCCCATTCTTATCTTTCTCACTTTGCCTTGGTACTCAGTATCCCGGCATTCATGAATCTCGTCGGGAGCGTGATGCTGTCTGGGAGTGCTTAGTTGTCTGCTTCAGGTGAGATGGGCACGGGATTCAAAGCTGTTGCCTTGCTGGAAACAGCGATGCAGAACCTTCATGTCGAGACGCGGCGACGCTTGTGCTGTCCACTCTGCAGATGCTCATGGCCGGACGAAGCTGAAGTTTCTCTGGAGCAAACCATGGCCTCGCTACGTCAATGTCGCATAAAAAAGCTTGCAAAGAACGTTGGACGTCTTGAGAAGGCGGGGGCCGACAAATACTCTCTAGCTGCTCTAGCTTCTGCTGCGTTGCTCGTGGCATCTCGCAAGGCCTTTATTTCCGTTAAGGCGAGCTATGACCAGAGGGCAGAGATTGGGCAGCACCCTTAAGCTCATTTGTGGGACTTTCCTTGCGGGTATGCTCGTGGTTTCCGAGGCGGCACCGGATGGGATATGGCTTGGCAGCCGTGCCCTCATTTTCGAGCAAGTTTGGTCTTTGATCAGAGACCAGCTGCCCAGGTCCTCGACAAGAACCTGCACACCGCTGAGAGCTACCTGAGCCATCGCGACACGGCGTGCAGCACGGTTCTGCGGATCTTTGAGTTCCTGGATGCGAGACATGCCGCTGGGTCTCACATAGACACCCATGGGAGCAAGCTTGCGACGATTGCCCTGTAACTGCGCAGCATAGTCTGGGAAATATGTAGAGGGCAGATAGCGGCTGCCACTGGAACTCTACGCCCCTCAGAAAATAAAGAGCTTGTGAGACAGCCGGAGGTCACGTCAGTGTCAGCCTGCTGCACAGCAGCGGCACGGCATTGCTGGGTGGAGTGCAAGCTCCGAGCTCCTCACGTAAAAGCAGCAACAGTGCGTTCAGAGACTTGCCTGAAGTCAGAGATGTGACCTGGTACGAGCCGCATGTCTCTGTCGCTCTGTCGAGGCTACACACCACATCTGGCCACAGACGACCAGGTCGCTGCTGATCGATCCATCGCTGCGAACGGCCGTTCAGAAAGGGACTTCAGGCCAGGGAAGGAGACGGTGTGCAGGCTTCACGACTCTGTCTACGTAAGACGCTATCGGCGGCTGCATGGTTCCTGCATCTGCAAGGCTTAGATGTTGTATCCTTCTCGAAGTGGCTGGCATGTGCTGCTGGCCTCCTGGAAGTGAACATTCATGCAGCGGGCTGGGAGAAGCTGGACCCTGGGGCGGGCTATCTGTCGCAGAGCCTGCCCATCGAACATCTCCAGATCCTGGACCTGTCTCATAATGGGCTGACTGACCTGTGTGCTCAGAACTTAGCAGTATCTTGGATGCATGCTAATGCCAGCATGGGATGGCAAGCAGCCGGTTCAAGTGTAAGAAGAGGCTTCAAGGGGCTCTCCAGCCGGAACGTGAGAGCAAGCCTCAGGCAGCGCTGACGAAGAAGCGCCCTGTACGTTTGGAAGTGCTGACGCTGGAGCTGAACTGCATCACGGAGGCCAGCCCAAGCCAAGCCTTGACGGCCTGCGGTGTCTAAGGAGAGGGTGCGTTTCACGTCAGTCAATCGGTTCGGTCTTGCACTCGAAATGATGATGCAGACGGCCTTGCCATGTCTTGAATCTTTGCTTTCTCGAGGCCGGCTTTGATTCGCTGCTCAGCCTGGGCAAGGACGTTGGCAATCGAATCCGCTGCATGTCGAACAAGAAAGTTTTAGAATGTCATCTGGATTTCACCTCGATTCGTGGGTGTGCTGCAACGGTCGGTAACGTGCAAAAAGTACCATCAAGGCAGTTGGGGCTTTCGACACAACAAGCTGGGCGATGCATCGTGCAAGCTTTTAGCGAAGGCGCATGCCGCACGACATCTTAAGTCCCATGTGCAATGTGAGTGTGTTGCTCCGTTGGCATGTTGCCTGAAGGCTCTAGATCCAGAGGGTATCGGTGCTCCGAATCGTCTCAACGTCTGGGATCTGCGCACCAACCGGATCGGTGACCTGATGCACTAGAAACTTTCTGTGCCTCGGGCAAGGAAGTTATGCGACGTGCCTTTCCCTCAGGTCTTGAAGGCTGCAAAGCCTTGGCTCCTCTCTTAGCTTTGCAATCGCTTCGCCAATACTTCATGGCAGCCTGGGAATTATCCTAGGTACCTGTCATCGGATCTATGGAGGTAGCTCGCCTAGGGTGCAACCCTTTGGGTGATGCGGGAGCCTCCCGGCTTGGAACGGCGAAGAATGCAGCAGACACCTGTGCGGCCGTGGCCGTTCTTCCCTTTCTGAGGGAGAGCAGCTGGCCAACGGCCTCGGGCGCAACCTTCGCATCCTCGCGGCTTCGGGCGCATTTGGGGGGGGGCCTCACAGGGGCATGGAAGGCAGGGGCCCGAGAGCCGGGGCTCAGGACCTTCGGCAAGCAGAGCTGGGAGAGGCCGGGGACTTCGCAAAGGGCAGCGCAGGAATGCCCATGCCCACGCAGCGGCACTTCTCGATTGGACTGGAGATGGTTATGTCATGTCTGCGATTGTATGACCCATGACGTAACAGAGGCAACTTGGCGCTACGAATGTGATCCATTGAAAGCCCATCATAAACTCAAGCAGCCGTGGCAAATGGGTGGGTGGGATGCCGAATTGCTCGTCCCACACAGACGGTGACAGGCGGCGACCCTGGCTCTGGGGAGAAAGCTCCGGGATGCAGCAACACTGCAGGCCGCAGTGGTGCAAAGCTTTCTGTCAGAAGCACCCGGGTTTTCGTGACTTGCAGGAGCTCCTCCTGTCCGGAAATAATATCGGGCCGGCAGGGGCGCAGGCTTTGGCAGAAGGCTCTTTCGGAGAATTGGGTGTCGTGTGGCTCTTATTGCACGCGAAGTGGAAGATGTCAGGCTGGGCTTGGATCTCCTCCTTGCGACACGTGGACCTGTCGGGAAATATGGGTATTGGGAAGGAGGGTGTGGATCTCCTGGCAGACGAGCTACCCTTTTGGCAGCAGGCCGATGCCAGAGTCAGAGTGGTGCAGTTGGTAAGTGTGCACCTGGCATGCTGCCTTGCATCAGGCACCATTTCGGCTTTCCCTTGCCAGCATCGGCTGCGAGGCAAAATGGCTCTGTTTGTTTCTGATGTTTCACCTCTCTATGTCTCTTCTCGGCCCAATGCGCGACCGCGTCGACCTCGGAGGACGAAGGAGCAAAGAGATTGGCCGCTGCGCTGAGAAAGAATCCGCGTAAAGGCCAGCTCATTCAGCAGAGAGCTCCTTTGAAGTTTTGACTTCCTAACTGTTGTAGACAGGACGCGGTTGGGCGATTGATCTTCAGAACAACCCAATTGGTGTGTGTCTCAGCATGTGTGCACTGGAAGGGTCTCAGTCTGTGGATCTTTATTGTCGGTGCACTGGCAGATATGATATGTCAGGCAGCTGGATGAAACTGCAGATCTTGCAGTTGCTGGAGGAGGTGCCGGATGTCTGCATACCTTCCACAAGAGCCCCAACCAGCAGTTGAACCAGGACTTATTCCGCTGTGATGACATGCACTCAACACGCAAGTGAGCAGAGCAGCGCGGATCTCCATCCGCCACTTGGGTGTGCCATGTATGGACCGCCGAAGCGCTGGTGCCGGGCCTGTTTCCCGAAGCGTTTGTTTCGTGTGACCGAACAGGAGATGTGAGTCATCCGAAATGCGCAAACAGAGTGTGAATCTGCCCGAGATGCTATCCAGCCTGGCGGATGAACAGTAGCTAGGTTACCTAGGTCCGCTCTGCGAAGCAGAGACGGACAATCCTGCCATTATTAACGGATTGATGCGGGCACTGTGGGTGCGTGTACAGTTCGACCTCCACTGTGCATAGAGCCTGCAAGCAGGCCATCCCGTCTCGAATAGCATCGTTTGCTCCGCATTAAACGTTTTGTTTCCAGCCATCTGCCTCGACTAGGTCTTCACACTAGGTCTTCAGGCGAGCTGATGCAGTGCATGTCTGGAAGTACAGGTATGTTGAAGCACAGAAGGCCCGCAAGAAGTACGAGGCTGTCCAGGGAACCATCTTTCTGCATCTTAGTACAGAGCCCTGGCGAACTTCACAGGAGCTTCGGACGAAAGAGGAGGAGCGACAGAGGCGCCTGGTCGATCAGGCACCTTTTTAACAGGAGTAAAAGAACAGGCGGGGCGGGAGGCTGCCTGGCCCCAAGCTGATGCCACTGCAGGCCCAGCAGCATGAGATGATGGAAGTAGAGCAGGCGGGAGCCGGGGGGGGGTCGAAGATCCATGGGACGGCTTTGTGTGCAGCCCGAAGGGTTGCCTTCACGAGGCCCAGCGAGCTCAGTTTCTGGGATTCTCCAATGCTTGGGACAAGTACATGGTGAGCCACCGAGCCACCCGAAGAACTCACCAGGCAAAGTAGAACTGCTGCACGTCCTTCTGAGGCAGACTATGAGTCCACCGCCTACATGAGTGGGGAGCTCAGCATAGCAGAATAGGCCCTGAGGTTTCGCCCCGCGGCCCTCTCTCTCTCTCTCTGTCTCTGTTTTATCGGCTCTTCTGCGAGAGAGAGTCTTCTGCTAGACAGTTTTGTGAGGAAGGGTCTTCTGTTAGCTAGACACGGATTTTAAGAGTTCTGATTGGCGAGTCAACTGCTTGTTTCACAGGGTTTCCTGTTTCATGGGGTCTCGTGCTAGATAGGCTTTTCTGTTAGACAGGGTGTTTTAGGCCAGGTCTCTTGTGAGCCAGGGTCTTCTGTTACACAAGGGTTTTTAGGAGTTCTGGCTTTCCAATTGCTTGCTTGGCTTGCTCACGTCCCTACGTCTCTCGTGTCCCCTCCCGTCCCCTGCATCCCGCCCCGCATCTCCGCCGCCGCATCTCTTGCGTCCCTCGCTGCCTGGGCCGAATAGCCCAGTTGAGCTGTGCTGCACGCGCGTCACCTGTTTTTGTGAGCGTGCCTAGCGGCCTAGCATACGCATGCATACGCTATTCCGCTACTCGCGGCAGATGCAGCAAACTGCAAAGGGTTGATGCTCGCTAGCCTCGTTCATAGGAGTCAGGACGAGGTCTAAGCATGCTTCATAGACAAGGACCATAAAGAGTCGGATGATGTAGGGTTGGGACCGACATCGGAATCGTGAGTGCTGGCCACGGGGCCCCGGATTCCAAACACATCGTCAGTGCAGTACACGTCCTTAGAAGCACAGGCCTCGAGCGGCTGAAGGCAGGGCCTCTCACTGTCCACTGTCTGTGTCTTTTCAGACGCCTTCGGCGAAATTCGGTTCCGCAGCGTGTTTGCATCAGGAGCAGCATGGCGACGAGCTGGGACGGTTTCAGGACGCCCTGTTTCGCCGTGTTTGTACGACGTTAACAAAGTGGAGTGACGAGGAGATGATCCGAAGCCAGCCTCCGCGGGTGAAGTGCTCCAGAGAGCTCCTAGAGCTCCGAAGAAAGCAGGAGGTTGGCAGCCTGGGAAGCCCCAATGCCTTAATCTCGCAAGCAACACCGTGGCAGCGATTTACACCATATACATGCTGTTCTGCATTTATGCCAGAGACGGGATTGGGGATATGACCGCCTCGCTTTGGCAGGCTCTGGCCAAGCTCGGAAAATATGAGGATGCTTGGAAGGCAAGTCACCCTTGCACCAAGAAGTGTACTGAATCAGCGTGAGAGTGCATCTGCCTGTGCGGGCCTGTGTCCGCAGCGCAAATGCCTTCAGAAACTCCACACCATCCTGCCGTGTCGAGGTAAAAGAAGATGGAGATCAATTAGAGCAGTGGGAGCAAGCTCGCAGTGCGTCCGAACCGGCATGTTTTGCCTTGGAGGGTGATGCATCACAATCTAGCAGCACAAGCCAGGTCTTTGGTAAGTGACAGTGTGACGGCCCTAGATGACAATCAAGTCTGCGTTCGATTCGCATGGGCATTCTCTCCAGCAGTATCCATTTATCATCTGAGGCCAAAAGACAGGAAACACGGTTGAGATCACAGCAGCAGAAGGCAAGACCATGCAAATTGCTTTTGAACTCACTTTGTCGAGAGAGCGTGTGTGCATTTGTGACGTGTGCACGTGTCTCTCTCTCTCTGTCTGTCTTTGTGTACAAGCTGCTGGTGGCAGCTGCCAAATTTTGACAATGTGGCAGAGTTTGCGATACCTGCGGCAGCAATTTTTGTCAGCTTGAAAGTGCTTGTGTAGACATTTCGCGGGAAGTGACGCCGACAAGATGGCGGAGGGCCGCGTGTACAACTTCTCGGCGGGTCCCAGTGCCATGCCACTGGAGGTGCTGCAGGAGGTCCAGCGCGAGATGGTGAACTACAAGGGCTCTGGCATGAGTGTCATGGAGATGTCACACCGATCGAA